ACTTCGGCGAGAGAAATGGACTCTTCATATTGTAACCGAGTGCCTCCTGCGATCGATCCAGGAGCTGTACCGTCCTCTGATAGGATATTGGTATCTCTATACTCCGGGGTCCATGTCAAACGTGATGAGTTGGAGAAAGGCTGCTGGCCCCCAACCAGTGGATTCCAGGGTGCACTGTGCTGCGTTTGGATCAAAGAATTGATATTGTAGAGGTTTCCAGCCCATGGCGTGTTTTGAAAATGTTGAGTCGTATCATCTGGACCGGACGGCCAGGCCGAATCAGAAGTCTCATGCTCCTGATGGTTCATACTCGCATGCGCTTATTTAGCGGAGCACGGCGGTTGCGTGGGCGATAGATGGCGCGCTTAGATCCAAATCTAGTACTAGGGCAACGAGACGGCTCTTGATAGTGTCTCTTCAGTGGCGTAGTGACGTGGGAGCCGTGGCAAGGCCAATATCAAGGCTGTCTGGGGGCCGAGCTGGGACGCGGCCAGGCAGCAACGGGATTGGGCGGTGATGGCGGGTCTTGGTGTTGCGTCCAGCACAACGGGCGTTGTAAGAAGAAGAAACAGATCGCTAAAATAAAAGAGGAGGTTAAAAACGATCAAATGTCGATTATAATGAGGATGGTGTATGATGAAGTCGATGGAAAGCAGCAAGATGCAATGTAAATGTTGAAGTAGGGGATGGAGGGAAAAAAGAAGGGCCAGAGATGATGTGCAGAAGCCCAACTAGATAAAGAAAAACGGGCGGCGGGCCGGCAGCAAAACGGTTTGGTGTTTTTGGCGCTGGGCAGCTGGCAAACTTGATCGCCGCTTTTGCACAAAACGACATCGACAAACCAGTTAACTAAACCAGCCACATCGCGGCTGGCTTCTCTTCTCTGCTTTGAGCCTTATCAGGCAAAATGGAGAACCCAAGCACTGAAGATGTTGGAGAGGGTGTTCAGGCCCGACCTGGGCGCAGCAGGCGAGCTGCAGCACTGCCACACCACTCCAGGAAAAGCGGTGATGGGATTTTACCAGGTAGGCATCGTGATGGATGGTGATGCACTAGCGGTGATGCATCAGGTGAGAGCGGATGGTATGTTGCGTTTTGAAACCACGACTTTTGCTGGTGGCTTCTGACGGGAAACTGCTTCCTACCTACAACCTGGTTACTGCTTGGTGCTTCCCCGCCGTGTACCTGCAAGCTCAATTGGACGCCACTGTAAGTTACAGGAGGAAACGAGGCTGTGAGGGTATGAGTGAGTAGCATCACCGCGTATCCCTCAACCCATTCCGCGATTTACTCAGGCTTGGGAATCCCGATTTTGATTAGATCCGTGAACGTGATGTGCTGGCTCAGGTACAAGGCAACGTCTCAAAGGTGCAGGCAGGTACATGCTAGGTAGGTACGTTTGTACTGCAAAGAATCCGGCGCGCTCTCATCCAAGCCACTGCCACTTTTCAACACCCTCCCAATATATTCCGTCCTTCCTCAAACCAGCCGAAACCGTCCTGCTGACAAGGCCGGTGTAAATTAAATTTCTGATCCGCGACCTGACGACCTGACCCGGCGCTGTGGAACGGAGACTCCGTGAGCCGGTCACCTCCGCGCGCCGCCCCGTCACCGTGGGGCCGTCATCCCCAATCCTTGGTATTATACCGTATGGGTAAAAGCGGCGTCGCCCTCATGCTGGCACCGAGTAGGTATGCAATCACCGACGACGACGTGCATGCAATTTCTTGCCCTGATGACTGATAACTGCATTCGCTTGTGTAACCTACAGCCCGGCCTGCTTTTGGCAAGGTACGCGGTCAATCCCAATCAGTGCTTCCGGCTTTTTCTCGACGATGATGCGCTGTCATTCAGTATTCGGTGCCGTGAAACGTCGCTTGCGATACGTGCTGTTGGCTAGATATTGAATGTATCCAAGGAGCGATATTCCCAAAAGCTTCCAAAAAGAAGACCGTCAAAAGAAAAACCCTATTTTTTTTATAAATAAAAAAACCACAGTTTTCTTCCCTACCCTGGAAGCATCGAGCTATGTTTCTCTATGTACCTTGTCAATGCGAACCACGAAGGCAAACTATAAGGCAGCCAACTAGCGTCGCTGGCCGCAGAACGGGCCGCCTGCAACCACCTGGCCGGGCACAGAAAGGCTGTGCCCGACACCATAATGAGCATCACAGATTTTTTTGACGAGTTTCGGTTTGAAATCACGTAAAACCCATACATTGGCGCTATTATGATCATACGCAGCCGGTATCATCATCTTGCCAAAGGATATCCTCAAAGCCAATGATGGCGCAGCCTGCACAGCCCGCGACGGATTCGACCCAACAATCAATTTTTTTCGGAGTCTTTGGCAATTACGACGCGGACCGTTTGCCGCGTTCCTGCCCTGTGACGACATCGGGAAGCAAGTGCACAAGGAGCCCGACAGAGATGAAGAGGAATCGTGACTAATTTCTGTGCTCCGTAACAGATCCTCCTCCCCCAAGCCCGGGCTTTGACGGTATCACCGCGAAATCGTCATCACGGAAGGCATCCTGTCACCGCCGCACTTAGCAAAAGGCAAATACGAAGTGCTCTTTCGCCCGCAACTCCGCATCATTGCCGTGTCTTCAGCTTGCCGGCGACTACTTCGACTACGTGGCAGAAAATTGCCAGACGCCACTTCTGCGGTTGCTACTCACATGGTCGGAACGCATGACAATTTTGCAAGAGCCCAACACCTTCTTCCTGGAGTTGAGGCCGTTACCGGCGCGTCGCCAAAACTGCATTCGTGCGTGGTGTGCGAGACTCCAACATGCAGCGGCCAGGGTCTCACACACGCTTGCCAACGCCGTCGAGCCGGTGGCTGAGCCAGCGGGCCGGTCCGCGATAGGAGGTGTGCAGAGAACATGCTCCTCACGCTCATACGAGCAATTCGGTACGCTGGTGACGTCGGAATGGATGCTGCATGCCACCGAAGCGACAAGCAGCCTCGTTTCGTCTTCACCACTCTCCCAAATGGCCCCATGTCTTGCCCTTTCCCTTTCCTCGGCAAAGGGTAGGAAAAAATGACTTGTGAAAATCTGCCGGCTGGTTCGCCGGTGACACTTCTGGCATCTCTTGCCTTTTCGGCCTGGATAGCTGCATGGAAGGCGACTAGCAGAGCCTGCTTGTCTGTCTTACCTGACGTAGTAGTGTGTAACATCCTCCCGCCACGCATCTGACAAGTGAGCCAGCCACATCATTAGTTTTGAAACTACAGGGACAGAAACGTTGCCCTTGGTCGCTTGTAGCGCCCCCTTGATCGCCGGGGAAGTCAGCCCCCGGACCCCGGATTTCGGAAATCTTCAGCGGCCAGATGTCGCTTGAGGACCCCGCCCACCAGACAATCAATCAGCTCTGCACATCACCAGCCCTGCACTTTTACTTTATTTCCGAGTCGAAAATGCACCGTCTCGGGAAAAAGAAAAGTCTTGGTCCACTGATTTTGAAAACAGTCTGTGTTCATGACTTCTTGCTCTTGCGGCGTCGTTCCCGTTGTAAAGCGCGTGCCTCTTGATTGGCACCAGTGAAAAGGAGGACTCACAGGGTATTTCCTCATCGGGGTTCCCGCAGGCTGACGGCAGGGATCAGATTCAACTCTTTTGATACAGACGAATCAAAGCGGCTCTTCTCTGCAGAGCATTTCGAATACAGCCACATCGGCCGCCGAGGATGCGGATCTGTTCCCCGGCTCGCGATCTAGACTACCGGGACCTCCCCAACAACTCTGTATCACCCAGAAGCTGTTTGAGCTCTGCACTGACATCACATTTGTGCGTCGTAGACTATGGCTTCTGGGCACCAGTGGGCGCACATCCGCATCCTATTGTTCCTGAGCCATTCTGGCCTATTGATGCACGCTGCCGTCGCAAACATAGCCAAGAACGAGGCCGCCACCGACAAGCAGTCAGTCGCGTTTTCCGCGTCCCGAAATGTTGATTGCGCAAGCAATGCTGCGATGTGACCCGGGGCAGGCCTGTCGGTCCTTGCCAGCGTCGCGTTGTCGCAGAGTCACGTACCATGTCTGGACCGTCCGGTACCAGGCGGCGTGCACCGCACACAACATCTGCAACTCCCCCGAGAGGGTATAACAGCATGAATGCATCGGATCGAACTCTTCGGTGCCCTGCATGCCCCGGATCGCTGCTGCGATAGACGAAGCGAGTCTTGTTGGGGTGCCGTCGTGAGGGGGGCTCCATGGTACCTTGATGTATGGCTGCAGCTTCCGCGCATGAAACCTGATTGTTGATTTTGCTCCTGTTTCTTTCATGTTTGGAAAGCATCTCTTCTTCAAGAAGTCCCACCTCCGCGGAGATAGTTACAGCATTCCAGCCACCTATTCTGGCTAGTCGGATGCAGCGCTGTCGTGGGCTTATGCATTAAGCACGCTCTAGCCCTTTTGGTAGTCGATACTTTCTTGAGTGCATGATAAATCGTATTACACCAATAGGAACGTTGCCCGGAACTATGTTGGCCGTATAGGAACGTAAAGCCAACGCGTGGCTTTGTCTCATCCTTTCTGGCGATGGTGGCAAGGACCTCTCGCGTTCCGCACGAATCAATCTTCACCTTGCTGGTGGTTCCAACATGATAAAACTTCGTGCTTTATGAGGGGGTGTGTTGGGCTGAGGATACATACGAGTGGGTAGTCGTTGCTGGCTCATTCTTGAGACATTTGGAGAGGAGACCGTCATGTACCAAGGAAATGCGTTGCTAGAAGCCACAGTTTCAACTATAAAAAGCTCAAGGTCATCTCGTACTTCACTCTTTCTCCTTCATTCTCGACTATCTTAACTTTCCTCCTGCGATCTCAATCTCCCCAAAGAAGTTTTCACGTCTTACCCTTGCAGTTACCTGTTGTGGCACATCAAAACCTCATCTTACCCCCGGTCCAGACATCACCGGCACACATCACAAGACTCATCCTCGCAGTGAGACGTCATTTTCACTCTGCCACTTACGCACCAACCCTTACCATCATGTGCGACTTTGAAGAGTACATCTTTACCTGCGGGCACAACGCCCTCAACCTCAAGGCGTACTGCCACCAGTCGCGCAACCACCCTCGCCACGAGTGCAACAACGTCAAGCGCCTGCGAAACAGCTGGTTCCAGGACCGCCAATGCAACGTCTGCGCCCGGGCCGAGAACGGCGCCAATGCGAGCCCTGGGAACGGCGGCGGGGGCGGCGCGCCGGGGCCCGGCAGTCATCGCAAGGACCCTCGTGGCCCGTTCGTCCGCGAGGCGGGCGAGTACCATTGGCAATGAGGGAGTTGATGTCTACCACCCCTTCACTCCACTTGAAGCTAGCGTTAAAAGACCCTGCGTCTCGGGAACTTAATAATGGAGTCCCGGAATCCTACTCTGGTGGCGTTCGGTTGGTGCCGAGGCGGAGGAGTTATATTGACGTGGAATGGCAACACATGTCATGGTGGAGGAACATGGCTAATAATGTAATTAGTGCAATCTGTTATTTCTTGTGGGCTTCTAGTCTTTGCTCGAGTAGCTTCAATATTAGTTGCAGGTCCTCAACTACGAAATCAACAGTGTCCAAAATTATGCGTAGCTGCTCTACACCGTCATGATCGAACTCGACGGTGATGTACATGCAATGAGAAACCTCCGAATGAGGCACGAGTGCTCAGCTCGGATGGTATGCTGGCGCGCCTCACCTGCAGCTGCCTGTTTCTTCCAAGACAGCACGCTGCACCATCTGCAAAAACCAGCTCCTTCACGAAGACCAGGGCCTCGGGGAGATGAACCTGTCCATCGCATGCAACGCTAACTGGTAACGTATTACGAGAACTCCCTCCTGATGGCTAACCTTGAGCACGCCCACCCCTACCAAGACCCTTCTTCAGCTGTGCCAAGCCAAACGCCAGTTGGCCCAACAGCAGGCGACTACGAGTAGAAAGGGTCGGAGAGCTTCGGATGCCGGGTCTTTTCTTATTTTCATCGTAATGTGGCCGCAGTCGCTCGCCTAATCCCTGCAGGGTTGTGAGACCTACCTGTTTGAGTTCCCGATGCTGGCGACGATGTCGTTGGGTACCTGTCACGACACATTGCCTTGTCCTCCGCGATGACAAAGCTGCGGTTGCTTCCTGATTACACAGAAGACTCTCCTCTTGGCTGTCAGAGTTGGTATGACGATGCACAAACAGCCCTACCCGGGGCCGGACCAGGGTAAGGCGACGGAATTGGCTGGTTTTCCGGTACCCGGGCCATCTTGGTGTAACCTCAAAAGCGATCCGGCATCTCTCAACGTAGCCCATCTCACAGAAGGGGGTGCGCCATCCGAGCCGAGACAAGGATACGGAAAAGTGAGGATGGCTACCGGCATACCTGAGAGGAGAGTGCCGTGAATCATGGCTTGGAATGCCCGCGACGCACGATTTTAGGGTTTCCTTTTCTGGATCGGTTTTTCTGGTCCCCCTTTTTTCCCTTCGTTGAGGTGAGAAGCACATTAGTAAAGTCTGGGGTGCGCAGGTAAAATATGTGTTGGTAAGAGTTTTGCATTTTTGAAAATATTTCGCCATGCCCTCCCAAACCTTGCAGGCCAAAGGTGGGCATATCCCAAGAGCGGAAGCCAGCCGGAAACAGAGCTCATGTTTGACCTCGCCATCCAGCCTCACGGCCTATACCGGCGCTATAAAAAGCGCATCGTCCGTCCCTCACAGTCTGCTCTCAAGTTCCTAGTCCATATTTGTAGCGCCCACGACAACGCCGACGACGTTGTAGCGCTTGGAGAAGAAGGTGACCCAGTCGTTGAGGACGCCCTTTTCCTTTTCGCTGAGTGTCGACCAGTCAGCAACGACATCCTCGGGCTTCGTCGAGGTCATGCCAAGGGCCCGAGAAGCGTCCTTGCCAGTAAAGACTAAGGGGTGAGTGAGCATGCGTCAGCGAGTTGTATCGAGCATGTTTGGCCAATCATTCACCGAAGTTAACACGCAAGCGGAACCTATGTGCTTCATGGCAGCATAGGCATGAGAAATGCAATGTTTCTGGCGAATGTAGGCCGTTCAGGCATGCTGCTGCAATGTAGGTCGCATACCGTGGTAGGCCTTGCCTGGCAGATACGAAGCGTTGCCTGTTACATCATACACCTTGCCCTATATACAGAGTATGAGAATAAATCACCCATATTTCTCGATTCAGAACATACCTTGATGGCCACATAGATCTTGTCGCTGTCAATGCCTGTGAGTACGCCACTGTCAGCCACTGCCCTTTCGCTCCGGTGACTGGAGAAGTGGTTCAGGCTCGCCCAGGTCCGAATAGCTGAAAAATCTGGCAATAATTCTCCGAGTCGGGTGAAGTCCCTCTCGCTACTATTTCCATCGATATTTGACTGGCTTTGCCATTCTCACGTGCAAGCTGCAACGTCGGGCGTCGCGGGGCTCTCCATGACGTACCGTTGCACTTGGCCAACTCCTCCACGGTGATGGGGTCATCCTTTGGGGGGTTGAGCTGCACGGGCTGCTTGGGTTCGAATTTTCCAGCCATTTTATGAGATTGGAGATGACGCGGATTCGCTGCAAAGTGGTTTGTATAATCTGAGCTCCCGCTACTTGCATCGCCAACCGAGGAAGGTTCCCCCACCATCCATTCCGGCCCCGCAACTTTTTTATATGATAACGCACGGACCAATCCGGAGGCCAATTGCTGGTAAGCATCATTCTTTTTCTTGTGAGGAGAAAGGGACCAGGCCTCTTCATCAAGCCCATCGTCCGAGAGGCGTGCACCCAAATCTATAACAAAAGGGGCGCTTCATTCCAGCATGTCTACCTTCGCAATCGCGTCTCTGCGACCAATTCCGGCGCGATGTCTGCACACAACCAAGGGGCTGCTATCCGTCCATGTCGCATCTCCAAGCTCCAGCGCCCATCTTCGCATGGTCATTTCCCTTCCGCCGCGGTGGCAGAGACACCAGTCAACAAGCGCATTGGATGGCGTGCAAAAGAATTCAGCTCATAACAAGCCACAAAAAGTGACGTTTCGTCAGTTTGCAGGGCGTGCCCTCGGTGCTGGATTGAAGAATCTCGCGTTTGCTCTAAGCCCCAGAGGTATCAAACAGGCGTACAAGGACTCGCCCGGATCGACCTCCTTTGCTGTCGTCTTGTAAGTTGCTGCTGACTAGCCAAATAAATTGATTCGGATTAGGCTAACGCGAACTCGCAGACTTCTCATCACTCTCGGTATCAGCGCCGTCGCTCTGAGAAGCTTCTACGCCCACTTCTATAACAACAAATTGAGCAAATATCCCGAGCCCGTTGCCAACACTCTCAGACGAGCGATTTATTACAGCAATTATGCGCCCGATCCCGAACTGGCCCTTAAATTTTATAAGAAGGCAATGCAGCAATGCGCCGAGATTGGGCTGGACCCGTTCTCGGACGAGGTACTCGGTATCCGTATCCAAGTATCTGCCTGGCTCCAGCAACTCGAAAACTACACATCAAGCGGCGAGGTACTGGAATCGATACTGGCCGACTGCCAAAATTGGATCGGTGTGATGGAGAAGTCTGTAGAAGACGGCCAGGTGGACAAAGGCGGCTATTACGTGGACTCGTCCAATTTGGCTGATGCCAAAGACCTCACTGGGAGGGATTCCAAGCTGCCTACAAACAGTGAAAAGGGTACCAAGGGTGAGGAATCGGAAGCTCCGCATGAAACGCTTTGGCGCAAACGAGAGCGACTTCTTGCTACGGCTGTCAAAACTGCTGTCGCGCTGGGCGAGCTGTACGCAGATGAACACGTCCTAAAGCCAGAGAAGGCGACTGAGCATTTCGTCTGGGCCGTTGAAACGACACTCAAGGAGTTTAATCGTCGTCGAACTGAAGGAAAAAAGCCTGGCGAGGAGTCCTGGCTCACTCCAACTGAAGTTGGCGGCGCAATGGAATCTCTGGGACGAGACTACGAGCGCAAGTCACAATTTCACCTGGCTATCCCGTTATTCTTTCAAGCGCTGCGCCTGTGCGAGGTTCCGTGTCATCGCGCTGTCGTCATGAACAACCTGGCAGCGTCGTTTGCCCAGATTCCCGCGTCATTTCTTTCAAGTTCTCTATCTGAGGGGCTCAAGGATCTCGAAAGCGCCGAAATGCCTAAAACTCGATCGGAAAGCCTTGCGGCCGCTGAAAATTGGGCAAAGAACGCGTACATGCACGGCAATGATGTCAAACGCGACGAGCGGACACCAGAGTGCGATGAAGCGTGCGCCGTGGCCCTATGCAACTGGGCCGACGTGGCTGCTATGCTTGGAAAGACTACTCTGGCTAGACAAAAGTATGAACAGTGCATCGAACTAAGCAACAAGCTCAAATTTGCAGACGGGGCTAAGCAGGCGGCGGATGGTCTGAAGAAGCTCAACAAGGGTTCCAACTAAAAGAATCTCCGACATTAATCGATACATACCTTCCTTCTATAACCTCGAATATTGAGCACGGAAGGGACTTTGAATGTCACAAGGCATAATTCGCCGCCTGCAAACTCGACAAGATCGACGACGCAGAATCAAACCTCTGCTACCATAGCGTCGGCTGATATCACAGAACCAAAAACGGACACAACATGTTTTACGATACTCTACTCTTTTTTGTATAATTGGCATCATGTACATTAGAAACCTCATTGGATGAGACGCGACGCGGAGGATGAGGCTAGCAATAAGGCTGAAGCCAGCGAGGGTGGTCTGAGTGTGTTTCCCAGTCACCTTCGTCTTTCTCCCACGCCGAGCTGAGGATAACAAGGCGATAGGACAGGGCGATAGGAGAGGGTGCATACGTCGTATACGTCGCTTCCTCCCGCCAGGAGCCTAGGGCAGCGTTCAATCTACAACAAGGATACCTATGCAAAGATCGCAGAGGCGCCCCATCCAATCCTGGCAACAAATGGCGGTGCCAGATTAGACACTCTGAGAATACAATTCTTCTATTGAACAAACCAGGAAACAAAGACAAGGCATCGAGAGCACCTACCTTACGCTACAGAACTTCTATATAAGGGTGCTGGTCATGGCTCTGCAACCCGCGATTGGCGAAATGCCTTGACGTTCTTGCTGCGCCTTGCTTGGCCCCCTCCTTTACCACTCAATGCCGGCGGCAAGTCACACAAGTCTCGGCGGTCGGGCAAAGCTATTTAGCCAGTCGACCTACAATGCAAATCCCTACGGGTACCACCTGGCTTACTGGTTGAGAGGAGTGCACCTGTCGGATATGGAGGCTGACACTTCATTGATGAGCTTCTCTTCCACAAATCTACACAGCGGTCTAATTTTGTCTAGAAATACCGGGCACGGTTCGTGGTGCTGACTGAGTTAGACGACGGCTGACAAGGAACGTGGCGAACAATCGAGGGCGACAGATGCCTGAGAACAAACGCAAAGGTTAGCTACCCAGTATTTTTCTCGACCTGACTTTTAATTTATTGGTCAGATCGTGGAGTGTACATTTCAGATCTGGAAGGGAAGATCGCGAGATGACGCCACATTCGGGTAAGAGCACAATGGTCACCCACGGCACGAGGTACGCACATGTGTTTGCAGGCACATGCAGCTATATATGCACAGGACAGCACAGACATGCTAGGGCAAGGTACGCTGAGGGTGGGGGGTTAGGAGATGAAAGGGTGTCGTTGGAGAAAGCGGACGACCTTCAACTGCACCTATTGCGAAGCCTGAAGCCTCAAAGTACAACGCTGAGGGTGTGAGGTGGATTCGGGGGGGATCACAGCACCGAAAAGAGGCCCACTGACCATCCAAAGTCAGGAGAGCGGCCTTTAGGGCTCGTCACTAATCGTGTATCTTCATTGGGTGCTCCTAACTGCTGGCGTCATTCAGTGAGAGGGCCGGAAGGCTGGTGAGGCTAACTGACAATAAAAGCCAAAAGATCTCAGCGAATTAGTGCTGCGGTATCACGAATCGATGCGTACTCGGGCCTTGTACAAAGCGGTCTCCGAGAAAGACTGCTGATCAGGCTGTGGCCCTGCAGCGGTGAGCCCTACCGGCACCAGTAGGGCCGGCCCGCCTCGAAAGACCTCCTACATACGCCAACAAGACTCTTCTTTTGGCCTTTGTCGAAGTTGAAATCTACCAGTTGATTCTCAAAAGTGAGCTTCCGAATATAGGGATACGTCAGAGAGCGATCGGCTAGGTAGATGTAAGGAAGGAAGGTAAGGCTCTTATGAAAATCAGGTTTACGCCATAGAGTCGTACACTCTCGTTGCCGGCCGGTAGTATTCTCAACTAAGCGGACAAGGCATTATTACTCGAAATGTAATCGGTCACAGGAAACAATCGACCGGCAGACAGGGCTGTCAGGAGACTAGTCAGCTGGTGGTCGGCGACGTGAGGCCAAAGTGGAGGTGGAATGGCCGGTAGCCAGCAGATGGCTGAGATGCAACTAGACGAAGGCGGTGCAGATCTATCCCGCTCTCGTCGAAGGGCTTTCTCGGCGAGTCTAAAGGGAACAGTGCGCGCGTTGGCTAGGCTGGCGTGAGTTGTTTGTCCTGTGATGTTGGTTGGATAGGAGTCGTGTGGTTTGTAAACCAAGGCAGGTAGGGCGATATCAGGTTTCCGATGGTCCTTTTCTTGGCAGATCTACTCTGGAGCTGACGCTCAAAAGGACGCCTTGTCTCGAGGTTAAATCTCCATGCAGCTTGGGGTCAGCGCCGGAGCGGCCTTCGCCTTTTCTCAACGATTCCGCTATCCCGAAGACCTTAGGAGTATGATCTCGCAATCCAAGAAAACTGCCCAACACACGCAAAGACTAGGGGAAGAAGAAACAAGCGTGCTTGCGAACTCTCCAAGCTCGCTCATGCTCGTTCATGATGACTCTTCCAGCGAGTCTCATTATCAGCGTCGTGTCGCGGTTGGCTGGAGGAGCGCGGCTCCAAACCGAGAGGGGCCAAACGTGAGGAGGTCCAAAGGTTCCTCGAGCTAATAACAGGCCAATCGCCAAACAAGACAGCTTGATTTACCGTCGGGCTAATAGCTAACCGTCTGTCTGTGCCGGGTTATCGAGTTATGGCCGGGTGTCCGGACACGGGCAGGGCCAGCACCGACCGACCCCGACTCCTCAGCCTCTGCCGATGTTGCGGATTTTGCGGCAGTGAGTGCCGTCCAATCGATTCCAGGTGGCAGTCTCCAGAATAGTAAACGAGCTCTTTTGTCTTTGGGTCCACCACTGCCTCTAGTACGCCTTGCATTGCCCTCAGCTATGGTACCCAAGCCCGCCCGCTTGCTTCACTCCCCTGCCCTCCTCAGACAAGATTCAATGCCTGGCTGTGCCATGTGGAGTGTAGTGACATTCAGCCCCGGGGGTGTGGCAGAGCAAAAGGACAATCTTGAGTGAGGATGAGCTGGCTTGTCTGGCGAGTCCTTGGGGCAAGGGGCGACCCGGCAGTGGCCGAAGATGGGAAGATTGGGGAGCAAGGCAAGGTTCGAAAACCTTTTATCAGCCAAGCAAAGCAATGGACTACGGAAACTGGTCCGCCCACGGGCCTGCCCGCCCAGCGGTCGAACAGCGATGGGCGAAAGACCTACTACCCGACTACTTAACTCTCTCTACTATACAACGGAGTTGAGTCGAGCCGCCAAACTGGCTACTTGGTATACTTACTTGCCTAGTCGGGAAATCGCAGCAGACTATCAAGTTGACTCGGCCATTTCGCAACTGCCAGCGTCCACACAGACATTTCGGGCTGCTAGGCCTCTGTCGTCATTTCACTCTGCAGCTGTTGTCTTGCCCATTTCCCACTCCTCAACATGTTACAAAACCATTTCACTGCTGTCTTCAATACTGGGTTCCCGATGCATGGCTGTCGGGACCGAGGCGAGGGGGGGTGTGCGTACGAAAACATGTTCCCATCTTCATTCCCACTCTCGGGCGTTTTCTCCTCCCCTCAGTCTTGAATACATCTTCAACTTCTCCAGCCCTCCTGTTTCTCACCTTGCACCTCGCCTTCGCCGCGAACCTCATTCTCTCCCTTTACAGAGCGACACAGCCTCGGGATGGGCTCATCTATCAGAACAATGCAGTCACATACTATTTTGGTACGTGCATCTATTTCACTTCCATGCATAAACACCTTCCTCCACACATCCCCCTTGACGCTTATACGTTCACGCATACACTCCTACACCACACAACACAGCACCCCGAAATCTATTCACTAGCACTCAACTACCCAAGTTACATTACCCACCACTTCGGTATTCCAGGTACCCAGTTTCCCCTCGTTGCCCATCTCACGCCCCTCCAAACAGAGAAGCGCCAAATTTCTGGATCCTCGCGTCTCTCCACCCCAGCGGCGGCAACCCCTAGGGCTTCCGAAGCGGTATTTAGGGTCCCAATTGGCTTCTAGGTCCAGGCAGTAGTGTAGACGACGGTAAGGCTGGCTCTCCTTACCTCCTTACCCCCCCCCCCCCCCCCCCCCCAGCTGCTTGTCATCGATTTCAACCGGGGGGGGCCGGAGTCATGCAATGTAGCGTCCTCAAGCCCAGGCGCACACGTCGTCATCTGGGCTGCATCTCCGATTCCCTTTTATACCTGTCAGACGGACCCTTTCTTTCTCTTCCTATTCTCATCTCCTTCTTTCTGCTCATACCTGTTCCCCAAATTTACTCGTTTTGGCTCTTATTCTTTTCCTTTCACCCCTCTCCCCATGCCATCCAACCATTTCGAAATACCGTACCGTCACCCGCTCCGCAGACATGTCAAAGCTCTCCGACTCCCGCAAGGGGAGCTCCGTGTCCGCAGTTCCCCCGCACCACCACTCTCCATCACCGTTATCCGGCGAGGATACTCTCTATCTCTCCTCCGCCGACTGGTTTGCCGATCTGAAACTGGGCTCTCCGTACGCCCAGGGCTCAGTTCCGCCGTCTCTCGCGCCCGCTTCGCCGCAGCCGCCAATGTCCCAGCTCACGCCACTTACACCTCTCTCTCAGTCTTCCCAGCTTCACATGTTTCCCGACATGCCGGTACCCACATTCGAGCACGGCAACTACCTGACTGTGGTGAGTGGCCATCCCTTGGAGCAGCCGGGGTCGTGGCACCTGTCCTCCCTAACGCTGAATTCCAGAACGCACAGCTTCCATGGTCCTCCGATTCCCTCATGGTACCTCCCCTATATCATGACATGTCAAGTCAGGGCAGCAGCCCATCAGCCAGGCTGTCTTCAGAGACGCCCTCGTTCCAAGACGCCGACACCCCGGCTGCAGAGCAGCAACAGCCTCCCAAGAAGCCAAAGCGGAGCCGCCCGAATCGCTACAAGAACGCGCCACCGGCCGTCATTCAGGTAAGTCTTTTCGCAAACACTCATCGAGTCCCCCATATGTTTTTTTTTTTTTTTTTCAAAACTCACCCCATTAATTCCGAGTTACTAACATGGGGACCTGCAGCGCCGGAGAGCCGCCAACAGAAAGTCGCAGCGCGCCTACCGCAAGCGCAAGGACGATCGCATCGCCGAGCTCGAGGAGCTCCTCCGACAGGCCGCCGAGCGCGAGCGCGACATGAGCCGCGCCTACGCGACGCTGCGCACCGAGTACGAGCAACAGCTACTGATGGGAGGCGGCGGCAGTAGTAGCTCCGGTAGCGGTAGCAGAAGCCGTCATCACGGCCGCCCGCCCAGCGCCGCCGCCGCCGCGTCCGAGGAAGAGGATGCGGCAGGAGTGACGATTGCGCCGACGTTCCTCGCCATGGCCGCCTTTTCACAGCAGCAAAACGGCGACGGCAGCCTCATCGCGCCTCAGCTGCTAGATCCGCAGCAGCCGCAACAACTGACACCCTCACCGCACCTCCTCCCCATCTACCCACCAGCCCCCATGCGACACACGCGGGCTTGACACCCTCCCGTTCATTGTCCGATTTCTTCCATTTTCTTTCCTCCTATTTCAAGAGCCAGCCTTGGTGAATGCCTTCTTGCCGTGAGGCATTGCAACGCCCCCTTGCTTCATCTTTTTCTCTTATTTCTTTGTCTCATAGAAGGGTATTGTTCTTGCTGGGATGCACACGCTTCGAGACGACGATGGCAGAGTTCCGCTATAGCCTGATAAGTCTTCTTCGTCGATCTTGCTCTTCTTTTCGGAGTTGGGTTCGCCGCCCGAATACGGGCCTTGCTTTATGGGAAATCATACTGCTGCTCGCTACAGCTCTTCGCCCGATTGTTTTTTTTTTCTCGTGCCGAGGAAGCGTTGATTAGAAACGTCTTCACACAAAGAATAAAGACTCAAGCGTAATATTCTGCTATATAGTGCACGTATTTGCACAGCAACATGGAATTCTGCCACGTGAAAACCAATGTAAAAAGCCCAACGCCCAGCACAAACTCCAAAAAAAAAAAAAAAAAAAA